GTCATTATTGAAAAGCAAATTTAGAAATTCATATTGCGTAATTAATTTTAATTTTATTTAAAAGTTAATCTAACAATCGCTTTTCGTTCGAATCTTCTATACTGATCAATCTCGTTGTTACACTTTTCCGTTCTTCTCTCGTCAAACGCGCAAATCATTCTCCGTCTGAAGGTGTGTAAACTTCACGGGGGATATCCTCGGCAAATGCGTTCGTGGAACGCACGTGTATTATATGCAGAGGTGGAGGACGTTCCTGACAAAAATCTCGACACTTTCACTATCTGGAATCGAAGTGCGTGACAGGGGGGGAAGGGAGGGGGACGGCCAACAGTTTGGAAAAACGGGGAACTTGGTTCGTTATTGGCCGTATCTCAAGGCTAACCCGCGCGGAAGATGCGCACCGGATCGCATGCACGGACGTGTGCGCCTGACGGAAGTCAGATGTACCCGCATACGCTTAGCACCTTTTTTGCATCCGCTTAAGAAACCTTGCGGCGCGGATACCTTGTTCGGAGAGTCGGTCGACAATCTTGAAACGCGAGAGTTATAGAGTCGAGCCGCGAACGGAAACGCGTGTCTGTTTGCGCAACGTATGTATTTTTAGAGGAGAAAGGTATCGAGAATCGCAACAATCGTGTCTGAAAAATGCCTGTGTTGAGTAGAATTTTTCGACGGCACAAGCCGTCGCAGACTAATGGACCAGCAGTTGTTTAAAGAGATAACGTTTCCTCGGGAAGAAGATTATTTTGATTGGGTAAAAGCAATGTTATTCGAAATGTACATGAGCGCATTACGCTTTGAACAATTCTACAACTTTAAAACGAACGGATATAAGATACAATAAAATAAAATAATTGACTTTCTAAGGATATCGATTATAATCAAGGATGCTGCGCATCCGTACTTCGCGAAAGTACCAGGCCAACGATGGCACTACGAGAAAAATGGTTCACTGAAACCTTTGACCTTCCGCGCTTTCTCCGTGAGCATGCCGGCGGTCTGCCGCAGGATTTGTCATGCTCTTTGAAATTCACCAATGATTCAATATCGGCAAGTTTGGCCTTTAAATGGTAGTTAAAAGTTAAGAAAGAGAGAGAGAGAGAGAATGAGAGACGCGAAGTTTTTAATAATTACCAACGGAAACTCGCAAGAAGATCGCGCAAGTGAGGACGATAAGGGTGCGTCCATTCAGTTCGTTTTCCTAATTGCCACGGACTCGGGGAATTATTCTACATGTATTTAATGAGGAACAATTTATGTTCCTTAGTGGCGAGACTAATGACTCCTACGTGTAAGATTACTTGGGGAAGCAAATATCACGGTAGCGCAGCTTCTTGCGGGTTACTATACTTGCCGGGAGAACGAAGCGTCCCGGAGATTCCGCATATGCTCGGGTAAATTAATGTAAAATTTCGAGTTGGAAATTTAATAATTAAATCTCATAAAACTTTAGACTAATGTCCAATACGTGCGCGATTATTTCTAGAATAAACGGCAAAATTTTTGAAATGGATTTCTCTCAAACCGGAATGTGTGTTTACGATAAAACGAGGAATTAGTGAGTGCATCTCATTATGCAAAGATTCAATAAATGTTAAAGAGGATTCGATAAATTATAATAATTTATTCAAAAACTTTTTTTCTTAAATGATATATAACAAGACTATCTCGATGAGATATTAAGATTTACATTTTCTCAAGGCAAATTTCAATTCCGGTATTTTAAATGTGAAATTTTTTAATATCTCGCTCATCGCGATCAACTTTCTCGATTTTTGGAACTCCGCCAGTTTTTGAAAGTCCGCTTTAATTAAGTTCTCATAAGTTGCTTCTTAATGCGACGTATAATGTGAAATGAAGTAAGAAATGATTCACGAGATGATAAACCGTAATTGAAGACGTTCAGACATTACCGTTATTATCGTCACCTGTGATTCCAAAGAATCCTTCCCTATCATTTGTTTTTATCGAACGCGAAATCTGTCGCTCACGATCGCTCGCACAGCAAGCAAGCGGCTAGAATCACCGAATAAGAGTTCTTATACGCCCACTATCGTACGACGCCGAGAATCGCCTTTGTAGGTGCAAATATCGTTCCATCTACGAACGAACCGAAGACAACTTTCGCCCTCCAAGGCTGAGAAGATTCCTCGCGGCGTAGAGTCTCATCGTGGCGCGCGTAATAGAAACGGACGAACGGACGGTCATTGAAAAATATAATACTCGATTCGTTAATTACCCCATCGTTACGAGGCACGTGTATGTACGTCGGTGTCGAAACGAGCCTCTGATGGCTAACAGATATCGCATAAGTCGACGAGATACAGAATTAAACGCGTTTGATCTATGATAAAAATTCTATAGGATACATTCACAAAACATTCCAATAAACTTGCTCGTCACGCGTATTTTAGCGTTTTCGAGGAACGTTAATGACGAAAGACGTAAATTTAAAGTCAGTTTATCCATACAGCTGAAAATAATTAAACCACTGTTTCGTATAAGTATATAAATCAAGATAAATATCACAGCGATTAAAAAGATTGAAATATTATGTTTACGCAAATTTGTTTACTAAAACGCCTTGATATTGGATATATTGAAATAAAGGTTCGAAAAATAGACATCTTTCACGAGATGCAAAAAGACGTTAATTTCATGGGTCACAAGTCCAGCGAGAACAAGGACGATTGTGCGCAATATTCTTTAGATTTAAATTCTAAAGCTATCGTAGATTTTTTTTGCTTCTCTCTCTCTCTCTCTCTCTCTCAACGCATTGCACTTGCGCGACGGCGCGCTGCAGGATGCAAGACAGGCTAAATTGCGAAATTTCAATTGTCGAGGTACGACCTCGATCTTCGTGCGACGGCGGCAAGTGAATCGGGCCACGTGATTCTTTTGCTCGTAGACAAGTCCTTTGCACGTTCTACGCCGCGCGCGTATCTACCTTAGCTTCAAACTGCGGAAGTGACCCTATCGCATCGAAGGATCGACTGCTACAATTTCCACCTGCAACGAAACCTCCTCTTTGAACGCAAAACGATTTCTACTCGCGCGCGAGACCGTCCGTTTTAATTAGTTGCTAACCGCCCGGGATTATGTACCTAATATCAGAGAAACCTGTGAGAAAGTTTAACTTTGAAGTTCCGAGATACGCGGATCCCGAGTTTCGACAAAGGTATCTAAATGCCGCTGAAGAATTCTCTTAGTACGTGCAATTTTCGTGCAATTATCCGGCAAATTTCGCTCAGCTATTTCAAGTATCTAGCATCCTTAGAATGCAGTCCCGAATAACAGAACGGCCATCTCGAGGCCGCTCGTGGACGCGCGGCGATTCGAGCGTTCTAACGACAAGGTGCTCGCTGTTCCGTCCGCCGTAATTCCTCGGATTACTGCTGGAATGCAACCGAGCACTCCTTCGATGCACCCTCCAACGAGTGCAATGAGTCGCGATCTCGCGCTGGCAAAGGCCACCAAACGACCGGTCACGCCGAACTTACGCTAACAGACGGAGACGTTCGAGAAACGTCCTATCGACGATTTAAAAGCGTGAAAAGAAAAAAAACGGAAGATATGCAGAGGCAAAATATCCATGTTCGTCATTTTACGAGACTTGTAAGAACATAAAAACAAGAAGAAGCAAGAGGAAAGATCTTCTATCATAAAATTAAATTAACCATTTAGTTTTATTGAACATTTGTGCTTGGAAATGATGCATTGTAAAATAAGATTTTAATTCTCACACACAGATCAATATTGAAAAGATTAAAAGACATAAATTAATAACCATTTAATTTGTTCTTCTAAAAAAACATATCTATGAAGAAAGTATCAACTTTAAGATTTATTTCTTGGAAGCCCTTTTTACAGATGATCTTTAATTCAGAATCGAATTCTATTTATAATTTTATGCTGTGTAATGCAAAAAGCATTAAAAAATCAGAATATAACACATATAAAATATATATTGAAATATATAGCTTGTCTAAAGTGAGTTTAAGTTCTAACAACAAATAACCGTGTGAATAAAAGTGTGTCGTAGATAGAAAGAGAGAAACTATGTATCCATAGTGGCGCAATGCGAATATCCTTTCACACAAAATATATCTACTTTAAAGATCCATTAGAATAATTGTCGCTGACGGGCACATCGGCTTCTTTCTTTTATCTCTGTTGAAGGCGCACGCGATGACGTTGTCTATCGCCACACCCTCCACACACGATTCAATGCGATGTAAAACTTTCTTCTATCTATAGTGCGATACAAGACTCATCATCTACGAAAGCGATTAAACGCGGGGAAAAAAAAATCGATGTCGTTAAAACGGTGTCACGAACGATTATCTCTATATATGCTACCTCGTGTATCTCTTCTAACGATATTTCCAAGTAGTCATAAATAAGAATCGACGTTGAATTTAATGATTGTCGCGCAACGCTTGCCGGCGATCCGCCTTCTATGCCTATCCTTGACGATCTTCCGAAGGGAAGCAGAATCTCGAGCTACAGAACTGCAGTTTTTTCGCTGGGCAAGTTCTTCCGCGCGTGAACAGGCGACACAATGAGCGCGGGCACCTACGCGTTATTATGCATCCCGCGCGCGCGCGCGGGAGAGGTCTCTTCGGGAGATGATAATGTCTCCCTCGCTTTCCCGCGCCGCGGTTTCTCCGGCACCTGAGCCGCCTACCTGCGTGGTAGTAAAACGTGTAAGTTACACGGGAGTCCGCGCGCGGTATGTGCATTATACCCACGTATAATACGTGCCATCGTCGCCGCCGTTGGCTGCTCGGCGAACGAGCCCGGTTGCCGTAAGTGACGTAACGAGAGAGACGTTACGTCCCGCATCGGACCCCGGCGCGCACCGTTCTCTTCTCCGTTAACGCGATGGGGCCCCGGATCCCTACCCCCGTCGTCCCATAGCTCAACCCGGCGGAGCCCCATCCTCCCAGAAGGCATCTTCTCCGCGCGCGCCCGCCGTCGGGCCTCTTCTCTTCTCGGGCGCGAACGTTCTCCACGCTGCTGCAGTCGCGTCCGCGAGTCTGATCGCGCAGGTAACGCGTAGGAGTGCGAACCAAAAGTCCGAGAAGCCGAGTGAATCCGGAGAGAAGAAACATCCAGGGAGCCCGAAGAAAAAATAAATATGGAGTCGACGAGACGGTATCTCGTCCTAATCTCGGGTACGTGCAATTAATACAGAGTGGAGTTCAACCGTCGAAGTGGAATATGGAAATCGTCACGGAATTAAAAGCTTTTAATGAAGCTTGCGATTTACCGTATCGTCAAATATTTAAATAGTTGATTTCAAAGAATTTTATTCAATATGATAACTTAAGTGATTTCTGATTCAAAACTGCGTTCGTAGAAATCAGTAATACTTTCGATCGAAGCAATCTCCGTGCATGCGGTTACGGTTATATATATCTTCTATTATAGACGCTGATATCCCCAAATAGAAAGGTGTATCGATATCCATTGAAACTATCGCTATTTATCTTCGTAATTCGCGCGAAAAGACGCGCTCGCTGTTTGAACGTTTAAGCTGTCGTGCGTTTGCAATACGAATATCAACGATGAGATCGAGAATTTGAAAAATTGTATAATAGCAAAGAATTTTTTTATGGCAGATTTTATGAGCATGTAACATTTAAAATAAAATGAAAAAATCGCGGATCGCATATTGATACGAGAATGTATCTTGTTAATGTATTCGGTTATTCTCAATTTATAATATGCATTCGATTATATTAAGAAATATTTGGAAATATAAATAATAAAATATTAATAAATGTAAATAGATATTTGTAATAAATTATTATCGTTTTTGTCGTTTTTCTAGTTTTCTCGATTTTTTTTAAATAAATTATAATTTTCCGCCATCATTTTTTACTTGATAAATTTTTTACATAATATATTTCGATATCGATTATACATGAGAGTATCGCAGAATATCGTAAAACTCGGGATTTTGCCGTGTATTTCAGTGGGAATATTATGGAGTTGCGTATTAGGTCTGCAACGACCACCACCGAGGTATTCTCAGCAATACATGCCGGAAACCTCGTTCTCCTGTCGCAACAAGATTGTCGGCAGCTATTACGCGGACCCTGAGACCGACTGCCAAGTCTTCCATGTCTGTGTCTCTGTGGCTGGCACTATTCAGGATTATAAGTGAGTGCTCTACATTACGATCTTGATAAGTGAGGATAAATTCTTCTCGGTCTTTTATCACCAACAGTAAGCAGGCATTCGTGTATCGCGCATTAACGAATGTCAAATAATATATGGCATTTCAAATAAATACATAGCTGGAATTTCAAATTAAATGTTAAAGGTTACGATATTTAGAGCCAATCACTGAGTTCGCAGAATCAATTAATTATCTTTTACTTAGGTTCCTCTGTCCCAACGACACCGCTTTCGATCAAGAGAGTCAAACCTGCGCGGACTGGTACGATGTGGATTGCGAGGCCGCGACCCTCTATTACGCCAGCGATAACTTCGATTTATACAGAATCGGTTCCGGTCTGGAGTCCGTGAGCTACGACAACTTGCGTAGCTCCGACGCCGAGCCCCAGGATCATCTTCAACGCAGCGAGACCAGCGACGCGGTACGATCCTCCGCGAACACGGTGAATCGAGTATCCTCGTCCAACTACAACAATCGCGAGGTACTGCGAAGTAGCAGTAGCGGCAATTTCTATAACAGAAACAACAAGGAAGACGAATACGAGAACGAGAAATCGTATAAGGAGGATCAAGAGGCCGCCAAGAAGAAGGTTAGCGGCGTTAGAAAGGTCAGCAGGAAGCAACAGTACACCGGTAACGGCAGCAACAACTATTCGCCAACGACCACCACCTCGGCGCCAGTCGTATCCAATCATCAGAACACCTACAACGGCAATTATTACAACAATTACAATCAACGATCCACGACATACGTTTCGTCAACGACCGCCCGACCTCAAGAAAACTACAACAGCAGGAATCAGAATACGCAAAGATACAGCGTACCGTCGTCCACGTATCGACCTACCACGACGTACCAGGATACGTACAGTAACCACCAGTCACCCAGCACGACTGCCAGAACAACTCCGAACAGCGTCTACAACACGAACCTCTACAACGTCTATAACTCAAACAACTACAATCAACAGAACACTGGCAGTTCCGTTCAAGCCACGACGCTGAAACCGACCTACAGTCCAAAGATTTATCAATACGCGCAATCCACCACCGTTCAGCCGAGTACTAATTACCAGACCAGCGATTACACCAATCACCAACAGAGGAACTACAACAACATCCAACGAGGAAGCAGTGCGGCAGTTGCATATCAATCTACCACGCCCGCGCCTACCGTTTATAACAATAATTACAACAACAATAACAACAACAACAACAATGGCCAGTACAGACCAGCTACGTCCACCAGTCAGGACATTCCCCAGACCACCGCCAAATATTACGCCAACAATTTCGCGAGCAATAGCTACGCGCCCACCACTTACAGCCCGGCAACGAAGAAATATGTGAACGTGGACAACACTGTCGCGCAGACCGCATTGAGGAACAACGACAACGGCCAATATTACGACAAAACGAGCCAAGCGGTCAAGCCCTCCACTCAGTACTACGATAGCACGAAAACGCCCAAGAAAGCGACTCAATATAACAATTACGACAACGCGAGCAGCGGCAAGTCGTATTACATCGAAACAAGCACGGGCAGCTACAACCTCGCGAGATCTTCCGCAGGAATCGGTTTCAGTCCCGCGAGTATCAACCATCTCGCCGAGTCGCCGAGGACCACGCCAGTACCAAGGTAAACTTCCGACTTCCTTTTGTGATAACCAACAAATTTAAATCTGTCCAAAAAAATTGTAACGTCGCTCAAATTCACGTTCAACCCTAAATCGCGCCAACGACGTTTATAAATACCAAAATATTACTAATTTAAAATGAAAAGTATTATCTAGAAAAGAAGATAATTTTATCGATGCACAAGGGAGGGGGATTTTTTGTAACTCTCGATCGAATTTTATCTTCGTAAGACAATTTTATAGATCGCCCTTGATATTGGGAGATCAATCGCAATGTTCTTTCTCTTGTTGCAGACGACCTTCTATCGCTACCACCTATAACCCGAATAGCTTTAGTCCCAACGCTCAGAGGGCCGTTCAACCGACGACGACGCCGCGTGGGATTACCTACGTCAGCGGATCCGCGAGGCCGTTCTCGTCGACGACAAGATTACCCAGCAGCAGTAGCAGCAGCGGCGGCGGCGGCGGCAGCAGCACGACAGCACGACCGAAATCGGGCAAGAAGAACGATTACGATTACGCGTACTACGATAACACGGGTGGCCTAGAGTACGACGGGGTCGACCTCGAGCACGTCACCAGCAACAAAGAGTCCACGAAAATCGCGAGGAATTAAAAACAGTCTCGCCTCGTTATCGCGTCGAATCCCTTGAGTCTCGTCGATACCAGTGATGTAAAATATTGAAGAGCAAGTATATCTCCTTGTAGTTTCAGGTATAGGTATTTTTTTTAATACCTATATGCTTATACCTAGATATATATATTTTTTGCAACGAAACTGTATTCGTAGACAGATTTATTATTTTCGAATATTTATTCTCGAGGTACATCTTTTAAAGAAACACTTGATCACATTTCAAATCAGCTTATATAATCAAACATAATAAAATTATAAAGATGAAGCTTTTAATTAGCTGAAATTAGGTGTACTTTTAAAGTATCTATACCTAGATACTAAAAGTAAAAGTACTTTTTACATCACTGATCGATAGGAGGAATTAATCCTTGTGAATTATTGTTTATTAGTGGCCAGTCATCGTCAAAATCGGTCTTCGATTAAGATTACTCGCGCAAAGAGACGCGAGAGAGAAAGCATATAAATATTGAATACCGATTTTGACCAGAAAAAAAAAGAATCATCGATCGATATTGATCCACTTAAATGCGTATATGTTCAATCGAGATTTGACGGCTCGTCCGCCGTTATTAACAATATAATTTCGTAGTTCAGTATTCTAGGCTAATTGTTTATATATATTCTACGATGCTTAATCCGCGCAGTATTAAGCATCGATGTATTGATATTACAAACGTTAAGAAATTCTGAACAATGTTAGCGCAAAAGATTGTTTCGCCGACATTCATCTTTCCCCTTTTACCTCACCGTGTAAAAGAAAGTATCGAGATAACCGATTATTAATAATGCTCATTATCTTTATTATTGGTACAGTAGTGCGAAGTTTGATTGTCGAATCGTTAAATTTCTCACATATTTTGTGCATGCGTATCGACAAAAGCCTGCACGAAACGTGTTCAGATTTAAGATTGTTCAATTACCTGCGTCCCCCCGCCCCTGAAGTATACGTACTGAGTGTATATACACTATAATTATTTTAATTAAGAAAAGCATTAAAAGCCTGGTTTATTATTTCATCCTTTCTTAACAATAGTCTAGCGTTTTTTTTCCTCCTATCATATTCATAAAAAATTGAACTTCAACCTACGCACACGAACATAATTCGTTTATCAAATATAAAGTATTATTTTCTTTAAATTATCTATTAGTATAGTTTTTAGCAATATCGGTGCGTAGCGTTTTCGGATAGATCTCGATATTTCGCGTCTATCCCATGTAAAATACGTGTGAATACAAAAAAGTATATGTACAAAACCTCGTAGCGCCAAAATGTGTGGACATAATATCTACGGACTTTTTGGTATTTCGAGGTTTTGTATATGCTTTTTTGTATTCATACGTATATTTATTTACGCGCGGGGGACTACATCTACGCCGAGCAATCGCTGGACAAAACATCACGAGAAAAATTCTCGGCACTTTTTTTATTTCCTACTACAAACCTATTTTATTACTGCATAGTACCAAGATCGTAATTTCGACTATGATTAGACAAGTGATTTTTATAATCACTATAATACATAGTTAGTCAACCAATCCTAGTGATTTATTCTGCTTGAATCAACAAGCAACAATCGCAGTTACAACAGAAAATAATCGCAATTACTATATTGCGATGCTAATTTATATCGCACATTTCAATTAATTCATTCGCCCAATCAGTTTGCGAAAAAATGTATCGTGCGAGTACACTACGGTCGCACGAAGTTCACTTGACAAAACTGTCGCCCTAACTGCGGCTTAATATCTGCGCACAGGTCGCGCGCGCGATCTTACGATCGCACGGAGTTCACCTGACAAAACTGTCGCTCGTTTGCACTACCAACGACAATATACGATTAGTATCTACGCATAATAATATATTAGTGGTGCAATTATTTTTCTCGTGCCAAAATCCGCCATCGATATTCTTCACGTGGAGAGCGAGCATAATTCCATCAATTTAGAATGTTATAATATTTAACACCTTACCTTGTACACGACAAACTACCGTCCCTAGCAAATCAGACATCATCGTCGGTCGACAGGCTCGTCGTCGGCGTCGATCCATCCGTAGATCCGCGTCGGTCCGTCTGCAAATTCGACACTTTTAGATAGCATAACACATTTTTAGGCAAAAAATAACAAACGGATAGGAAATCTGATAGCCCTAGACAGACTCACTTATTTTTCTCATACGTGAATGACTCACTGGGGTAATACGTTACCCCAAACTCGTACCGCGTGTATAATATTTCCAGAATGTTCTTAGAAAACTTTATAATAAATAATTTTGTTTGTTGTTTAATAGGGAAGACGATAGTAGTCATCAATTGGCGGTAGTAAAAAAAAAACAGTAAAAAAATTTCGAAAAACAAAACAAAAAACCAAAAAATAGGCTGAAATGATGCGAATTTGAATTTCGCGTGGGGTAACGTATTACCCCAGTGAGTCTGTCTAGGGATAAATTTCCCCTCAAAGTGATATTAATATGCAATTAGAAAGTCGGGGAAAAAACAGGAAAAGATAAAAGTATAAAAAGTTCAATTACAAAAAACGAACCTGCTACCTTCTCCAGTAACGTCCCGGTAGGCGAAGCGTCCACAAAAAAATGCTAGGTTTCGCTTCGCACCCGAATATCGCGAAGAGCGCAGTCGATAGAGCTTTTGCAGAACGACGATCGAGGTATACATATACGTACGTGATAACGATTGCACGCTCATCGCTTGATGAGTAAAGTAAATCGAGGCATGCGAGTGTGACGCGAGAACGAGAAATGCCGATTTCGTCTTTGAGCGAACGGCAGCGGGCCGCCGAAACTCGAAATTAATCAACCACTCGCGACGTCGACGAACCGAGAGTCTATACTGCTCTTCCGTAGCTAACGCTAGATATTTAACCCGCTACGACGAACGTCGGACGTCCTAGGAGACAGCCGACGGTGAATCTTTCGCGCGCGAGCTCCACTTTGGGATGTAATCGCGAAAGATCCGCGGAACAACGCGCGACGCGTTCCCGACTCCGACACTCCGGCCGCAATGATGCCCGCAATTCCGAATCTGGTTGCGATTCTCGAAGTCTCGGGGTTGGTCGCGATTCTCGAGGTATCGAAAGCGTGTGACGTCACGACGAGTCACCTGCTGACCGTGAAGCTGGCCATGGTCCGCTATTCTCATATACGGCGTCAATTAAGCGTGCTTCAGGTCGTTCGTTCGCGTTCGTATTAGGCGGAGCAGCTCGAGAAATTCAGGTATTTCTTTAATTTGTACTTCTCGCGCGAAATTTCTTATTTTACTTCTATCACGAATTACATAATCGCGTCACAGCGTGGGTGCGAAATGGAGAAGGGAGTCGAAACGTCGGGAGCTGTGTTCGCGACGTAACAAGTAAGATCCGAAAGAGGGAAAGATCACTGAAAACTTTTACTAATTCCGACAGAAATCGCGAAGAATATACCGTCACGTTTCGTAGATATATTCTTTTTACGAACACCTCGACGTTCCGTTTGATATCGGCGAATTTAGGCCGTTGCATAATCCTCGTCGGTTTTGAGGTTATTTCACAGAAACTTGAATGTTTTCGTCCTGATTGTCCTGAACTATTTATTTCCTGTGTCGTTAGTCACTATGTCGCACTTCATGACTGTTCTTTTCTCTACACTTTTACGAAGATTTTTATATCTTCTTTTTTTGTTGTTAGAAAATCAGACATGGGCAATGCTCTTACCGCAGCGTCGGTATCGGCTGCTGACGTGATAGCACCGTTGTCTCAACAAATCACCAAGCCAGAATCTCACAGGACGAAGGAGAAACAGACTCAACCGCCGCCGGAATGTCCCATGCACAAGTCGGGTCAATTTAACACTATAAATTATGCCAGCGAGTGTCCGATGGACAAAATGGACGCGAGTGAAATAAATCCATTGAATATGGTACGTATAATGGAAGATTTCTTTTATCGGTCAATAAATACTTGTTTAATCATACAGCATTAATCTCCTTTGTGGATACCATTATAGATGCCACCGGGGAATCAGCAACCTGCTCCAGACCAACCGTTTCCTTTGCCGACCGACAGACAGGTTTCGTCGATACCTAAAGCAACCGGGCACGAAGGAGAATTTTGGGTGTATCCCTCCCAACAAATGTTCTGGAATGCTATGCTGAGGAAGGGATGGCGATGGAAAAACGAAGATATCTGCCAGAAAGATATGGACGACATAATAAAAATTCACAACGCCAATAACGAACAGGCGTGGCAAGAGGTTCTCAAATGGGAGGCCCTTCACGCGCGAGAGTGCGGCAGTCCCAAGCTGCGCAGCTTCGGTGGAAAAGCGTCCAAATACTCTCCACGTGCGCGTATTCGCTATTGGTTAGGGTACGTTGCTTTATTGTAATCCCAATTCTATAAATTTTGAGCTACACAGTCGCTACACAGTCTTTACAGTGCTGTACAAAATATATTATACTTACAGATATGAACTGCCATTCGACCGACACGATTGGATCATAGATCGCTGTGGTAAAGACGTAAGATATATTATTGATTACTATGACGGTGGGAAAGTCAACGAGAAGTACACATTCGCGTTACTCGATGTGAGACCTGCGATGGATTCGTGGGAGAATATCTGGGATCGGATGAAAGTGGCATGGTGGCGTTGGAGATACCAATCCAACGACGAACCAGTGTCTGCCATAGTGCATTAGTTTGGGAATTAATGCCAATGTAAAATGTGCTAGCTCGAGAAACTTTTATTGAATTGATAATTAATGCCTTAATGGTCACGCAACATAACGCTTATTGTGTGGTGAGAAAAATCGCGTTACACATATAACTTATCTGTACATAAGTTACATCCATAAGTATCATAAATACAAGTTCATGATATTTAGTTTAAAGAATATCAAATATTAAAGCGGATTAAAAAGTATTCGTACATAATAATAAATTTTATATATACATATATATTTTACAAATATGTATATACGTGTGTACACATACCTTTTTCGCCCATTACGCAAAAATCTATTAAAATTAATCTGCAGTGTTAAACAATCACTGAAAATTTCATAAAACTAGAAAAAGAATTTAATTGCGAATTTGTTCTAAATCATAGAATTGTACTTGAATCGTATATTGTACATTTGATCCATATAAAACATTTTTAAATACTTAATTTTGTGATTGTAAGTTACTTTGTTAATATTGTAACATTTAGGAACTTACTGCCAATATTAACATCGAATATTCTCTATTTAAGCCTTAACGTTAAGTATCCAAAGATTAGATAAAAGAATTATACTGTATATACATGTAAATTATGATGTTAATTCTTCATGAGTGCATATTTCTAATTTCATATTAATGACTATATTATTTATTAAAATTTAATAATTACTGCTTTTTCCCTTATCATATAAAGCGAGAAAAATATAAGAATTGCACTTATGAATGGACTTCAAACTATTTCATTGAAAAAAAATGTTGCAATAAATTAATCAGAAAATATTAGACAATTCATATCTTCGTTGCACAAATTATTTAATTACACATTTTAAATTAGGAGATAAATAATTTGAAAATACAATTTATAATTAATGATATTTGATATTATTCACAATTATATATTGTACATTATTTTATTGTCAATATATATGGCTTTATTTATTTTTCACAACTTTTATTTTTATAATTTTTATAATTATCACCAGAATATTTAACTTTGTATATCTTATAGACTAAAGTTTACATAATTTCGTCAATGGATTGAGGACTACTCAAGTATAGAAAATTAATTATACCGCAAAAGTTCAGGTTCAGGTATCGTTGAAGCTAATCACAAGCAATTACAAACAAGGCTGTTTTATATTTTTAGAATAAAAATATAAATTTTAAATATGCAAGAATAATATGTGATACTCTCCTAATAAAATATAAATAGCTTAAATCGTTCGTTTGAAAAACGAGTTTCATACGCAAAACTTTTTAAAATTATAATCATATTTCATCTATAAGTTCCTTAACTATTTACACAGTCATACGAACATTATACCTAATACCCAAATATTATAAACGATATCCCTTAAATATAATTTAGAATGTATGATATACATCAGACAATACTGACCCAAAAAATCATACTTCATTTTCTGAATAAGAACATATATAACATTAATTGTTGATTGATTATTAAAAATCTGTTTTTACAAATTTTTCGTTTATACATGTAAATTATAGGTAGTTACTGAGAGCTTATATTCTTTATTGACAATTATAAATTAATTGACGAACATTAATCTTTCCTAGTAAAATATCCAAACTGTTAAAAAGAAAAATATGTTTTATATTTTATATACTTATATAAATTTATAATCAATCATATCTAAACCAAATTGTTACCGTTATTTTTCCGCAGTTATGTATATGCATATTTTAGCACTGATATATGCATGATAATTGACCTTACAATAATCTATAATTTTTAGAAGCCATGACATGATGTTACATGCTCCAAACATTTTTATCATAACAATTTTTAATATTAAATATAATTATAATACTATAACTATAACTGACGAAACGTTCGATTCTCATTGTTCATTCATTGTTTTTAATATTTAAAAAAATGGCAGCTGCTGTAAAATGTTTACCAGCATTCGCAATTTTGGTAACATTTACTTTCTTGAACACTGTATTGATCTTATTATTTAATACTTATTTAGAATTGTTCAATGTAACGTCTAATATATTATACTAAATTTCATTGTTTAAAGGTCGGTTATTTCAACCTGTTGGTAAGCTAACTAATAGTTAAATCATATGTCCATCTTTGTCTAATGTAAAGGATAAACAAAGATAAACAAAGTTGGAACAACCGACCCTTAATAGAGCTTTAACTAAATTCTGATGATTGGATAAATAAAACGTGTATAAAACGTGTTGGCACATTAAATAATTTGCTGAAAAATTAATTATAACAATGAACAACAAACATTATCGTCATGTTTCTTTCATTTTTTAATCTTATTAATATTTATTATTATTGTTACTTATTAATATTTTATTAATAAGTAACAATAATAAAATGTAATAGAAGCAGAAATAGTAAAATATTCGGTTTATAACATAAAATATCAAGTAACAGAGGGTACCTAAACATCAAATATCATTGGACCACATGATATGTACAGCACGTCTCGCTTCTACCTGGAGGGGTTCCTACCTCCTCTATACTAATAAATGAAAACATTGATTCATTGGAGAGAAGCATTAATCAATGCAAGGAAAACAACTGAGATATAACTGACAGTAATTAAATTGTGAAGGCATATTTTATATACATGTATAAAATATGCCTTCCATATATATTGTATATTTTATATATATAATATATATACTTATATATACTTATATTTCTCTAAAAATTATAGAGAAATAAGTTCGTTATTTGTCACACTTACACATGTGTCACATAATTATACTTGATTATAATGATTTAAATCTATGATGTTTTCTTTGATTCTTATGATATCAAGTTTTGATGCACATAGTTTAATTTTGCTTTATAGTTTTTTTTTTGCTTACAGAAGATTCAATTCATATTAAATCCTTTGATATTAATTTTGAATCTGTAGCCTTTAATCTTTTTTTTATTATAATATTTTGCACAAGAATATATGTAAGCTGTTAAATCTGATTATGTGGTAAATAACGATAACAATTGTTAGAACCACAAAGACAAGGAGTATCACTGAGACAATGGACGGAATTAACCATCGCACCACCAGCGTAGTCAAAAGTCACTTCCTCTGCATTCTCTATATCTCTAGATGCAAACAGGCATAATCGAGGTACGATTCCCTCCACCCTGACCGGGACAAGAATAGAGTTCGGGTCACAGCTATGATTGGCATAGCGTCCAATATTACCAAAATATTTCGGATCTATACAAGTTACAGTAACACGATCGTCAGCGTGTTCCGATACTACAAGAACGTAATTCATCGTGTTACGCTCCTTATTAATTTCAATTCTACGTCGTGCTTCCTGCAGTCCTATCACTTCACCAGCGTATTCGCAAATAAATTGACCCTTCTTTATTAATTTATTCGTGAAAAGACCGAGACCTTTGTTGGCGACTTCTCTGATAAGTAAACAATTTAACGGCCCATTTTGAACTAATCTATTTCCACAATTTGGCCCACACTTGCAACGAGCATGGCATTCAAATACCGGACCGGTTAGTTTCTCATGTACGATTCGATCGTTAGAATAATTAGCAGAACCGCGTGTACACGAACAATTGTAGCATTCAGTCACACACGAACAACCCACCACGTATTCCGCTTCAAAGTCTGCTACATCTATCCCAGGTCCTGGTATATTATTTACTACATACATAACGTCCGCTACGGTATGTTCGTACTCATCGGCAGAAGCATTCGCTTCCATGGTTACTATAATTATGTATCAATAAAAACACTCAAAAAAGTCTTCATCCAAAAGACTCTTTGAGACGAAGGGCAGCATGAGATAAAGGGGGAAAAAATTGTTTAATAATTAAGAAAGGGATTTTTTTTTAATGAATAAAGCAACCTTATCGTGCGGCACCAACCTGTAGAAGCCCCTGAACCGATGACTTAAGAGACTGGAACGTGATAACAGTGGGTACAACTTTGTAGCCCATGTAAATTATAGCACCAAGTATAGATGCCTTAATGGACAATTTTATAATTTTACCCGACAACGATGGCGGTGGTACTCTGTAAAAGATTTAATAGTAAATTGACATGTAACGGATACATTGATCTGAGTTCCTAAACTTTATGTTTAACCAAACCGCTTATAAATCATATAAATAAATAAATAAATAAAAAATATATATACAAAATATAACTATGCAGCTTTCATTTTAGAAATATTTTATATGTGTTGCAACTATGTTATGCAACATTTTTCATAATTACCTCATAATGGGTGGTATATCGGAAGGCTTGACTTTACCCCAATTTTCGACAATGCCAGGTATGTGCCCTAAACCGACAACTCCTACGACGCGCGCTGGTTCAAAAGTATGATTAGAAGTACGATGAGGTAGACAGGCCAACTGCAAGGAATTCGTCAAGTAAATGTCTCTCTCCTTCACAAATACTTCTCCCACCACCGGAAATTCCTCCTTCAGTTGGGCGATTATTTCATCCAGCATCGATCGTTGTTTACAGAGTTCGACGTCTTCTTGAGTAATGGGGTCTTTCATTGCTATCAGATGCCACCCTAATTTTATAGTCTGCCACCAGGATAACGATCGTATTGCACGCTGCATCGTTATGTTAATTGGTCGATCAGCCAGATGAATGATACAATTTGGCACTTTTTTTGCCTAAATTACACAATATTGAATTAATTACAGTACACAGATAAGGCTGTTTCTAATATTATTGCATACTGACCTCCTTAAATGCCGTCCGGAATTCCCCACCGGGTGGCATACGAAGCTGCTTGGCGACATGAGCTGCCATTCTTAGCAATAAAATGTGTATTAAACCATCATACAATCCTTCCTTCCGAATGGTCTGCATCATGGCTTCTGTAAATAGATTAAGTAGTAGTGCAATGTGTCATTATACAGTAGCTGAAGAGTTATACAAATGCAGGAAATACAGGAACTCACGGTAATCGATGTTTTTAGCGTAACCAAGCATAACGTCCTCGTCGATCTGCAATATGCCAACTCTGGCTTTGCACAGCTCAACCACAACTATATGAGGCTGCACAGCCTGTATCATCTTTAATAAAGAAGAAAAAAGTGTTATTTTTAAAATACCGTTATATGTACATTAAATTTTTACAATAAATTTGCACTTGAAATTAAAAATCAAGATTTTATTTCAACATGACAAAAATATGTATATATTATAATTACTTTTGACACGTCATTTTGACTTTCAACACTAAAATGTGCCGTTCCTACTAGGTACAATTTTCCTCCGTCTGGTGTTGTCAACAATGTCACAGTATCTGGTAAATTTTTATCAATAGTAGGATCATACTCCCTTATTTTCAGTAGCTCGCTTGCTGCGTCACTGACGTTACATTCCTCATTCTGAACATCGGAATCTACATTAGAGCCAATATTTTCTGTATTATAAGTACATACATGGTCAATAACACCTAAACAGTGGGTTAGGTTAACCAAAAAATAAAAAAAATAAAGAAACACCAATAGTACCTCGAGACCTTAAAACTTTCTTTTTACTTCTATATTGTTTCTGTATTACTGGCATTTTTTAAAGCACTCTACTCTGAGACAATACCTTACGATATAATAGCAGCAATGGCTGATTTCATTATTAGATTAAAAAGACTTTGTACGAGTGTGAAACCTTACAACATTAAGCCTGTTCGTTTTAGCTGAACTTCTTGCACAGTTCATCTTTTTTTCCTTTTCTCTTCAACGTGAAAAGAAAAAGGAAAGATGGGACCATGGCTTATTAGCTACTTCAAAGTGTTGCTCACAACTATAGACACTTGTCCAGTTGATTTCCAACAGCCAGAGATGCTAATATACCAAAAGTACCCACAGAAATCTTAGTTTATTTCGCATATGTTTATGGTAAATATTTAAGGTACATATAACACAACAATTACCTTCATCAATAACAAGCAGTTCGCTGTCAGAGGATTCGATGTTGCTCATCTTACCATCATCGTCGCTACTGTTCCCTGAGTTCGTCGGTGACGACGTAGATGAAGACTGTGTCACTGATTGAGAATCCGATTGTGCTTTATCGCGCTCAGATTCTATATCATTCACTTTTTTCATAATGTGTTCAGACACTCCACAGACAGTAACTCTCTTACTGCGCCCAGACTCTTTGTCCATATTTTGCTCCGACGGTTTGACAACTATTCCTTTCACATTGCGCCCAGTCTCTTTAGCAATCATTTCTTTAATTCCTTGTATGAGTGACTCATTCGATGTACTGTGATCACCCCTTTCGTCAATGGAGTACTTGTCATAGTGCTTGTCTCCTATGGGCGACAAGAGATCGTTCTCCCGTTGATCACCATCGACATGATCAACCTTACTAGGTACGGATGCCATTTCTCTTCCTGAAAAATTCATATAATTCTAAGGTGCATTCGTCTTAAGAAAAATAATACTTCTAAAATATCTGTCATGACTGCATACTAATATTAGACCAAACTTTTGCAAGCAAATAAGTTATAAAGGGTAAGCTAACAATTTAACGTTGCATGTTTCAGGTGTTCCTGAAACAAAGGACATTCCGAGTTGTCTTAAAAACCAAATTCTATTACCGTTATGCATCTTTTTAGGCAACAGATGTGAGCTGTTGCATGCTTTTAACCTCGTGGAGAATTGACACGTTTACAAAAATAGATTCTCACGTCGCTACAACAGATAAATGTATAATTTATCTTTAATTAGGTCAGCCGTCATCATTTACCTTGTGCGAAACTTACGCGGCGAACGGAAAGTCGAAGAAAAATATAACGTATGGAGAAATTGAGCATCGAGACAAATGTCAAATGCAGTCAAATGAATCGAATGGATCCATCCAATATAGGGTATTTAGGGTAAGGGCCCAGACACACACTTTTTCGTAACAGTAACAGTAAAGTTTCGACCAATCGCGTTGCTTGAATCGGGAACGTACGGCCCAAAGAGAATTAGATAGAGTGGAAGGTCCCATAAGAGCGTAATGT